CACAGAAGCCCGGGTGGCCTGATGATGGCCTTGGTCTGTGGGTGCATGGTACCCCAACCCCACCCAGCTCAAGTGCCCACAGGGGTCTGTCTTGTTTCATGAACCGCACCCCCAGCCTCGGCCCCCATGCCACGGCTCTGCAGAGTGCACCTTGCCCCTCCTGCCCTCGGCGCAGCCCCCCCACCCCCCACCCCCCACCCCCAGCAGCCCCACACCTCCGGGGCCTCTCGTTGAGACTGGTGCTCCTGGCTCGGAAACTGTCCTTCTCGGGGGTGTCATCGAAGGAGAGGAGCACGTTGGAGCGGAGGCCCTGGTGGGTTGGTGTGCACCAGAACCATGAGGCCAGAACCACGGGCACCATCCCCACCAGCTCGGTGGCCGTGCCTGCCCCTCACCCCCAGCCCCACCCCCCGGTGGCCGTGCCTGCCCCTCTCCAGCACCCAGCCCTACCCAGTCCCTTGCCCCCAGCCCCACCTTCGTGATGTAGGGAACAAAGTCCTTCCGGAAGGGCAGGCGGCACCGGATGAACCACATGGCTATGACGTGGTGAGCCAGGCACACGATATACTGATTGAACCTGAGGGAGGCAGAGGCTTAGGATGCACACCAACTCTAAGGGAGAGCGGGTGGGGCAGGGGCTGGGGCAGCACTCACTTGGACGGGTTGGTATATGGCAGGGAGATGGCAAACACGCTGGCATACTGCTCTGCCGCGAAGTTCCTGTAGAGATGCGGCAGCCGCGCCAGAGCTGGGCCCCACAGAGACTCGTCAAGAGTGCCCAGGCCTCCCTGAGGAGCCGCAGTGACCACCACCACCCCGGGACAGCCCCAACCAGAGGGGCACTGCCCAGGGAGAGGCCAAGAACCCCCAGGCCAGCTCCTCCCCTCTGCCACTAAAGAGTGCGTGCAAGGACTATCATGGCCACCGAACAGGTTGTGGAGCAGGCACCACGTGGGCCATTCAAAAAGGTGGCTGCGGCCGTGCCTAGCCCACCACAGGCCGCTCCCAGGCACACGCAGCAGACCCTGGTGTGAGGTGGTGGGCAGACAGGGCATCAGTAGACTGCTCCCCACATCACGGGAAACAGAAGGGGGTGAGAGGAACGAAGGGAGCCTCTCAGAGATGGGAGGCATTCAGCAGGAACCCCAGAAGGGCAGGGGCCCTGAGGCAGCTGGGGCCAGCATGGCAAGTGTAGAGGGTACAGCCAGGGGCCAGTGAGGTTGGCAGAAGACGTAGACAAGACCTAATGTGAGCAATGTCAGGCCCACTTCCACACAAACACCTGTGCACGCACGTATGTGCTTAAGCGCGCTCACCCCTGCCTGCACGTGCACACATGCATTTCAGAAGCACACCCCCACACCTGCAGAGGATCACACACACGCCGCCCCGCCACACTCACTGGACAGGAACTCGAGCAGAGGGGCAGCCATGCTGGCAGTGGCCGAAATGTGGGTGAGCTTGACAATGAGCACGGGCAGGGCCTTGGTGATGACGGCGGGCATCTCCACGCTGCACACGGCCAGCGCCACCACGCACTGGCTGGCGCAGCGGTAGATGAGGCCTTGCTCTAGGCAGTACACCATCTCGCGCTGGGGACCGACAGGCATCTCAGGCCCTGCCCTCAGGGGGACGCATGCAGCTCCCCGACTCTGGCGGCAACAGTGCCACATCCCAACCCTGCCAGGAGCCAACTTTGCTCTTTGCTGCAGGAACCCTCCGACCCTGGGGCCTTGAAAACTCAGCCCAGCACAGCCAGCTAGAACCAGGCAGCCTCCTGAGCTGGCAGCCACCCGAGGGGGGGCGGGCCCAAAGCAGGGCCCTGCTTAGCTGCCCTGGGCATTCTGCTACCTGCTGGCAAGAGGCCCAGTGAGGCCACGGAAACCTCCCCTTGGGGGCTGTGTCTGTCTTTATGTGGCGGCACCAGCCCCCGGCTGCCCACAAGTGTGCACTGCACCTGTCTGGCTTTGTCCAGGTAGCCGTGGTAGGAGCTGAGTGCCGTCAGCACGGGCACCACGGCGAGGTGCAGGTCAGTTCTGGAGAAGCCCTCGGGGGTGCCGCGCAGCCGCTCCAGGGTCTTGGGGCCTGAAAGCTGGTCACAGGCCCCGGGTGTCAGGAGGCCCGGCAGGGAGGGGCTAGGGTCCCTCCCTGCCTTGGCTGGATGTGGGAGCACCCCTCTGCAGGTACGGGGAGGAAGTGACAAAACCCTAGGCCTGGGACAGGAACTGAGCCTGCCCCCTGGGCCTGTCTGACCCCAGTTTCCCTTCCGAAACCCCGGGGCTCGGCGGTCCCCCGAGCTGCACCGGGCCCCAACCCCAGGCCGAGGGCCGCACTACCATGGAGCAGAGGGCGGCCGACAGCTGGTCGACGCTGCACGGGGAGGTGGAGACGAGGACCTTGTGGCGCAGAGACGCCGGCAGCTTGCTGAGCACCAGCTTCAGCACCTTCCAGTCGCTCTCCTGCGGGGCGGGCAGAGCACGGGCGCTGGGCACAGGGGCCTGAGCCTGGGGCAGTGGGCAGGGGGCCTCTGAGCCAGGCTGGCAGTTTGGAGTCCTGTGTGTCTGGCGCAGACTCGAGGCGCCGGAGGCCCACCCTGCGCTCAGCCCTGCGTCCCTGCAGCCCCAGCTGCGCAAGGAACCTTCATCCGCTCCTCATGAGCAGGCAGCCGCACTCAACACCACCTGCGTGGCCACCCTCCTCCTTTGCTCCCCCCAGCCTGTCCAAGGCTCACAGCTCCCTGCCCTGGCCGCTCCCTCGCTCCCAATGGCAACAGTCCTTCAGGATGATGTCCAGGGGGCCCAGTCCTGCCTCCTGACAGGTGCCCAGCCGAGGCCCCGGTCACGGCCCTCTGTAAGGAGGCCACTTCCTTCCCGGGCCTAGGCTCCGCTCAGGACAGTCACCAGGGAGGCCTCCACACTCAAACTCCGAGAGCCCAGGAACCGCCTAGACCCCTAGGAACTCAGGGGGGGCCCAGGACACGAATGGCCCCCACCAGCAGCTGTTAGAACCAGCACCCCCCCCCATCCTGCATCCTCAACCTCAGGGGGGCTGCACAACAGGCTCCTGGGGAGCGCCTCCACCCCTCACACCCTCCCCACGGCCCTCCCTGTTTCCCACTGGCTCAGCCATGCCCAAATGTGGCTCTCTGCCCATTTCTTCTCTCTCCGTGCCCTGCGGAGCCCAGTGCCGCCAGTGAGCCCTCTGGTCTTCTGAAAGCCTCACCCAAGGCTTTGCTCACACCTGCCTCGAGAATCTTCCCTGCCTTGCAAGACTCGTTCCACCTACCCTCACGTACCCTTCCCAGGAGCCTGGCCACACATGGCTGCCCCAATCCTGGCCCAAGCAGCCTCGCTGGAGGCTGGCTGGGTCTAGAAGCACAGGCCTTCTGCACACCTCCAAAGCCGCCTGTCCATGCACCCTAGGGCTCCAGTACCAAGCGGCCTGGCCTAGAGCCCCATCTGCCCTGGACAGCAGTCCCACGAGGACTGGAGGCTCTTCTGACGAGTGGGCCGCGGCTGGCTCTGACCTGAGAGGATCTGGGGTCGTCTGCAGCGGGAGGCGAACGCTCAGCCTCACCTGTTTCAGGCACTGCAGCAGGACGCGGAAGAGCAGAGAGTAGGGCAGGTAGGCAAGCCGCACGGCCGGGCCCGGGGGAGCTGGGCCTGGAGGTCCCGTGGGTGGTGAGAGGGGGCCGCTGGCCTTCTTCTCAGTGCTACGCTCAGGCTCCCTGGGGAAGCAAGACAGAGCAGCTGCAGAGGCCAAGCACCCCCAGTGCTCCATCCACCCTCCAGGGGGGCCTCTCCCAAATGGACAGGCTGGCCAGCCGTACACACTTGTAGTCACACAGGCAGTAGGGGCTGAAGCGCACAGCGCCGTCCTTGCTGGGCAGGCCCAGGCGGTGCAGTGAGTCTGCCCGCAGCAGCAGCAAGAAGTCAAAGGCCTGCAGACAGAGGGCAAGGTCAGCGGCATGGCCGTGGGGCCCCAGCCCTTTCCAGCAGGATAGTTGTGCCCCGGGAGGTAAGCAGCAAGGAAGCAAGGTCCCAGCACAGGATACCCATGGGATGCCTGCCTCTGCTTGGGGTGTGGCCACCCAAGAGGCAGATGCTCTGAAAGAGGCCATGGGTCCATCCTTGGGAACAAGACTGGGGCTGGCCGAGCCAGCACAGGCACGGGAGACCTGGACAGCTGTACCTTCCCTGCCTGGCCAGGCCCCTCGGGGTGCCCAGGGAAGAGCGGATCCAGGGAGGCAGGCTGTACTGGTTGGGACATGCAGCGGCCTGACCCTGAGGAAGGCCCACCCCGGTGGCCCTGCATGTGCCGGCCACGCACCTGGAGTCGGATGCTGCTGGCGATGGGGAGGCTGTAAGCGTGCTTGTAGTGCAGCTGTAGGTGGTGCACGAGTGTCTCGTAGACTCGGGCTGCGTGGCTGGCCGGCAAGGTGTAGAGCTTGGTCTGAGAATAGTGGGGTCTGTGGCGGCTGGCATGGCAGCCCGAGCACCAGGCCTCGAGGCCTCAGGGACAGCCCAGCACGAGGCCGACTGGCGGCCCTCACCTGCAGGATGACCAGGAGCCCCAGGACGGCGGTCTTCACCTCCTCCAGGGAGGCCGAGTGGGCAGGCCAGTCCCTCTCCTCCAGCTCAGGGGGTGGGGACAGGGGGCGGGCCATCACCTATGAGGAAGAGGTTGGCTCTCAGGCCCGTCACCCGGGTCACTGGCACTGCATCCACCCGTCACCCGGGTCACTGGCACTGCATCCACCCGTCACCCGGGTCACTGGCACTGCATCCCCGTGTCGCTCAGAAGGCTCGAGCTGGGTTCCCAGGGGTCCGGCCAGCCCGGCCTGGAGAGCTCAGCCAGGCACTTACCTTCTCAATGATGTCCAGCAGGCTGTTGAAGTGGTGGGTGTGGCAGCCCTCTGCCAGGTCCACCAGCAACTGGGTAGCCAGCTTTCGGACCTGGGGGTCCTTGTCCTCCGGGATGGAGGACAGCTGGCAGAGCACGACTGAGTTGATGAGCTCCTCCTGGGGGCAGGCCGGGGGAAGGGGTTTGAGCAGGCAGTGGGTTGGGCCGACCCTCCCCACAGCTCCGTGCCCCGCCCGCCCGCACCTCGTAGAACTGCCGGTTGATGAGCAGCACGAAGGAGAGGACAGCCAGCACCTTGATGCGCACGGCGCTGCGGGACTCGCTCCTGGAGGCGGAGGGAGCGCTGGGTGCCACCTGGGTACTCTGGATCCCAGCCCTCCCTCCCCGGAGATGAGGAGCCCGGGTCGGCCTACCTGAAGAAGCGCTCCATCAGCCGCTGCAGGTGGTGGACCCAGCCGTCCTTGGCTGGGTGGATGGACTGAGCCCGGTACGAGATCAGGTTCAGGATGGAAGCCTCCTGGCAGAGGAGAGGGCCGTCACACGGGCCCTCAGAAACCACAGGCCCAGCGCTGAGGGAGGGCGCCCTGCCAGCGTCCACCTTCCTCTCCGGGACAGGGGGTGGCGTGGCTGGCCGGGGCTCACCGGTCTCTGCTCAGCGTGCCTCTCGACAAGCTCGAAGAACCTGTCCCGTGGCCCATGGAACTCGTTCTGGTCACACAGCTCCTCCACGGTGGTCAGCAGGTCGTGCACGGGCGCCCGGAGGCCCGAGCTCTCCAGGGTCTGCAGTGGGCGGGGGGGCACAGTGCACGCTCTTGGGATCCCGGTGGAGGGGCCTTGTCCCTGCCCCTGCTCCCTGCCCTGGCCGGGCGAGGTGCACTCTGTGCCACACAGGGGTGCAGGGTGACCGAGCCAGCAGTTCGCTCCTGCCCCCAGGGGCCCAGGGAGAAGGCAGGTGGGATGGAGGCTGCCACATCCCAAGTGCTCACGTCTCTCACCCCAGGCTCCCTCTCGTCCCCCCCAGGCCGGCTGAGCAGGGCACATAGCTAGTGACCTGGTGTGGCTTGGGCCTGGCCCCAGGGACAAGGACTCAGTCACCCCCTTCCACTGTTCTCAGCACCTGCGTGCCACCGTCCCTCATCCCCAGGGGCAAGGCCCCCTGCTGCCTTGCGCCCACACACTGGGCCAACACACTGGGCCCCCCTAGCCCGCATATAGTGTGGTGCGGTCGGCTGGGGGAACCAGGAATTGGCCGACACCCAGTCACCAGTCAGCCGACCACCTGGAGCCTCATCCATGTAGGCCAGCCCAGCTCCCTGCATGTTCTGGCTTAGGGCCCACCTGTGAGCAGGCAGTGAGCTAGGCAGCACTCTCAGGGGACCGACAGGGCAGGGATGGTGCCCATCACAGGGACCAGGACACGGGGACCCGCCCCTCCGCCCTACAGGCACATCGAGAGGGGGCCCTGGGGCCCTGGCGCATGAGGCCGCATGTCGGGCTGACCACTCGCCTGCAGCTGCTGGAGCAGCCGCTCGATGATGGTCAGCAGCACGTCCCAGGTCACGGCCTGCAGCTCCTTCCGGTACTTCTTGATGAGGCGGGACACGGACAGCACGATCTCGTAGGACACCACTTCGTTGGGGCAGGTCATGGCCTGGACACAAGCCAGGGACACTGGGGTCAGCCAGCTGCTGCGACCCATGCCCCCTGGAAACCCCGGGAGCCGCCCTAGGGCCAGAAAAACGCCCTCAGTACCCATGCAGTGCACAGGGGGGGGGGGTCCTCCAAATCCAGAGGGGCTGTACGTGGCCCCACCCTCACGCTCCACAGCCTGGCCCGGTGCACGGCCCCCACAGCACCGGCCCAGATTCCAGGTGTCGCCACCAGCACCCCTGGCAATCTGTGGTCCCCAAAACCGAGTGTCCGAGCTGCCCTCCTTGATGTGGACTGTGGTGGGGAGGGCTGGCTGCTGGCCGGGTTCATGGGGCACAGAGGGCGGTGCCCAGGCCTGCAGGGTCCCTGTGCTTGCTGGCAGGGAGCACAGCTCATGGAACCAGACGTGAGGTGACAAAGCATCTGGCACCCACCCACCGGCCAGCACCCTGGCTCTGTGGTCCTGGCTGGTGCAGTAGGTACCTCATAGAAGGAGGGCAGCACAGATGTGGGGGAGTTCTTCAGGGAGTAGAGCCGGTGGGCCCCCCAGAGCGCCATGCCGACAAAGAACACGGCTCCTCTCAGCAGCGGGGCGTCTTCCATGTAGGCTCTGAAAGCACCCGGGGAGGACAGGTGAGCCCTGCCCAGGGACCAGGTGCACAGGCCCGGGGACAGGGCCAGAAACTGCAGGGAAGGAAAGAGGGCCCACAACCCAGCGGGTAACAGGTGACGCGTTGATTCACTTGTTGGTGACATGCTGGGCCCGGGGCCATGGGGGAGGAAAGCCCCTGTCCAGGTAGGCCCAGACCCAGCTGCTCAACACAGAAGTAACCCAAGACCCCAACGAGGCACAGGGGCACCGGACTACTCTGCTCAGGCCAGCCCAGAGCCCAGAGGACAGAGGTCCAGGCTCTCACCATGGAGCCAGGCAAGGCACACACACCCAAGCCCAAGTCAATTCCGACAGCCGGCAGCCCACAGGACGGAGCAAGACTGCCCTGGCGGTCCCCAGGCTGTCAGTGTTTAGTGGGGCAACAGCTTCATCTTTCTCCGGAAGAACAAACCATGGGTCGAACGGCTGACCTTGCAGTTAGCTCAATGGCACCACAGCTACTGCAAACAGGCAGACACCGGAAACCAACACTGCTCACGGCCAGACTCAGACACTCACGTTCCCAACCCGCTCTGGCCCCAGGGCTCTGATGCAGCAGGTCAAAGCCCCTCAAAGCCCCCAGGGCGGCCTTGCAGAGGTGGGAGTTTAGAGAGCCCGGGGCCAGTCCCATGTCGGGGGCTCCTGGGCAGTAACAAGAGGAGGCTCCTCAAGGGGCACCTGAAATGCACACTGTGAGGAGCCAGCCAGCTACACGCTGCCGCTCCAACCACGTGACTGCCCCTAGATGAGCGCCTCCCCACAGACACTGTCTCAGAGGACACAGGACATCACAGATGCACACCCCACCGAGCCTGACGGGAGGCCATCGCTAGTGAGGACAGGCGCAGACTATAAACACCAGGCAACGACGGCGGAAGTGGCACTGACTCGCCAACCCTGATGGCAGGGAGCATTAACGGGGACTTACAGAGAGCCCCTAGGACTCCAAACCCACATGGCCTGCCCCTCCACCCCCTTCAGTACAAAACACGACGCAGCGCCCCCCCCC